GGGTGGCAGCCCCGCATCATATATATATATATATCTGAGGCTTCGGCAAGAGACATCAGGCTGCATGATTGTTGGTCTTTCAGTGTCTCTGGGGCGCAGCTGCACTCTCTTCACTTCATACTTGCATGGATGTGTGGAGCGCTTGGTGCCATCCAGTCAGCGATGGCAACCGAGTGCTCAATAAGCTGTGGACATTTCGATGCAAGCCATGCCGTCAAAGTCAACTCCGAGCAGACTGCTGACACATGTAAGCGATCAATGTACGGGGAGCCAGTGCGTCAGAGGACGGTAAGAAAATTGCCGACGTTCCTCCTGGTCAGAAGGTGCGATACGATGCAAAGGCCAGGAAGTGAAGCTCTGGGCTTGAAGAGGGGCCTAAACCCGGGTGAGTTTTGAAGGCGGGACAGACCACGGGAGCCGAGCGCTTAGCCGAGGGCCTTCCTACGGCCCTGTTGACCCAACCGTGCACTTCGTGTGAGAAGCCATGCTTTGCTTTCGGTCGAGGTCCTGAAGCTGCCAGGCAAGGACATCACAGCCAAGGGCCCAGTGAGAAAGAGTGGGCAGTGAGAAGTCATGACTCCCCATCACATACACGGCAGGTTCATTGCACAGTTGTGCCGACAGCTGCTTGCAAAGGTACGTGTAAGCGGGGAGGATGACATTCGGCAGGCAACGGCGATTTACAGTGCTCACGAGGTTCTACCATGTCAGCAGTCAATATAACAACGGGTGACTGATGTGGTAGGTGAGTTGTTGTTTCGAAAACCTGTTCGTAAAACTGCCGGCACAAGCATCACATGTACCCTATTCACGAATCACGAAGAAGGCTCGCATCAGTTTAAATGCAATGCAGCACTCACGAGCCTGTCGTGGAACCTGTCCTTGCTGCAGTCAACACCAGAGCTTGGCATGCAAACAAGAACTTGTAGACCTGCAGCTAAGCAATGCTGAGTGGCGGTACAGGGGGTGGGGGCGGAAGTCAATGTGCTACTGCTCTAAGGCCACAAGTCTTGCAATGCTCAGACAGACAGACAGCCAGCCAGCCAGATAGACAGGTGTTGGGATTGTTCCGCACCTTGAATGATGCAGCGGGTCCTGTGTCAGCCTCGGCCAGTGCTGTGCTCTTTGTTGGAACGGTGAGCGCCCTGCGTTTCATTCGCAGGACAAGAAGCCCAAACAGGGTGGCCATGTTGACGGGCATGAACAGGAGAGAATTAGTACGGGTGTCCTGTGGTGTCCAACCCATCCCATTGAGTCTTTGAAGCCTTGATATCTCTGCTTCGGTGCAGTTGAGGACTCGGGGGCTTTTCTGCTGGTGAAGTTCAAAGCTCCTGGAGTGGCAAGAGCCTCCAAGCATGAACATTGCGATTCTCGAGCAGCTTCGAGCAAGCATCTTCGAAGCAGGTGTATTGGGCCCCGCCCGAGGAGCAGACTATTTGGGAGGAGACAGCAGCATCTTGACGGTATGTGTGCAAAACACCGCTTCGGCTGTCAGACATGTTCGAGTTGCAATTCGAACCTTGCCGTGCTAGTTGCTGCAACCGTCTCTGCCACTCCTCCGACTCGTCGTTCGAGTCTCTGTGGGGCAGGAGCCTGGCGCACTGCTTTTCCTTGTCAAGGTGGAGCGACGAGAACTTCGGAGACATCTAGCTCATTATTTGTGTGAGCCTAGGTGGATGCCACGGGAGAGATTGTGCCGGTTCGTGTCCCGTCGTTCGTGATGCCGACTTGTTTGTGAACTGAACTGGGCCAGAAATCGATCTCCGGCATGCATCGGCAGGACCTGCGCTTTGAGCACGAGACGGCGTGGTATCCGGCAAGGAGCTCAGATGTACTATCGCAGGATCCGAAGGCGAAGGTCTGGACTGCGGCCCGAGCGTTTGTTCACGAGCATACGCCAGCCCTGTGGGTTTCTGCGACAGAGCAGCTGAGTATAAACAGTATAAAAGCTCTTTTCCACGACCCGGCATTCTGCCAAGCTAGATGCCGTGCTGCATTACCTCTGGCTCAGTTTTTGCGTTTTGCGTGGACAGCGACACTGCGCACCCGCTTTACGTGAGATGAGAGATGTAAGGGCTACACGCTGCGAGCACTAACAAAGGAAAGCAGTCAATGCAGAATGCTACGGTCACGACGTTTGCTTCGGTGGAGTTGAGCAGACTGAAGATGCTGGTCCGAATCCGACGAAAAGTGCTCGGTTGACTGTCAGGTCAAAACTCTCGCTCCCGACAACGGATTCAGCGACTGAGCTGCTGAAGCTGTTCAATTTAAGATGTCAGCGTTTGGGCCTGGGCCTTCTCAGGCAAAGAGATGCTGAACAAGGCGAAGCCGCATAAGGCGAAGGAGCTCCACACTGAGCATCTCAGCTGAAAAGTCGCAGCCTTTCGGAGCTTGCACCTTGCCAGAGCACAGTAGTTGCCGTGCTCCTGGAGTGTGATGCCTCCAAGCAGCTCACAAGGCGAAATGAGAATTCATGTTGTAGGCTGCCCTGCAGCCAGGCCAGTGTCAAATCGTTTGAATCCGGTGGACAAGAAGGATTGAACGTGTGGCTGCTTGTTGACGCAGCTTGCACACGCTTGCAAGCTGCCTTTGCAGGAGGTCGATGATGACGCTCAACCTGACGGGCACTCAGTTCCCGTTTTCGCTGCGCCCTTAGACGCGCTTCTTCACATGTCCCTGTTGCCAATCATTTTTCGCGCATCGCATCAGGTCTCCAAGAATGCCTTCTGTTGCCGAATAAAGCAGCGACCGGGACTTCAGCACTTTGACAGGCTGAGGACCCGGCAGCACCAATCGCCATGGTTTACCATTTTACCTTCTTGGATCAGTTTCAATGGCAGGACCAAGAATTGGTTCAAAACAAGCCTTTGTAAGGTCTTTCCCGAGGCATGGCATGTTCCGGAGCATGGTTTCTGGACTTGTCGTTGGGCGAGCCGAAGGGTTCCTGTTTGCCCCTGCGAGACGTTCAGGTGGACAACATTTTCCTGGCCGAGTCCTCCGACTACAGTCAGGCACACGCTGCAAGGCCTCCGCGCGAACTCACGGACTGGAGTTGCATCTCAGTTCCCAAGTAACATGTCTTCAATCGGTCTCCGATGTATTGCACGACAAACTAGTCTCACAAGCTGCAACATGTGCGGTAAGACCAGTTACAGAGCTATTGTTTTAATTCTGCTTTACTGCAGGATATGCACTCACCACACCAGACGTTGCCAAGCGAAACCTGTGCGCACATGTTGCCGTACTTTGAAGCAAGCTCCCGCAGGCATTTTTTCCTGGACAGATGCCTAAACATCAGGCGGAGCTGCGAGAGTCGTAAGCCATTCATCGGAGTGGAGAGTGGGCTGTGGAACGCATCTTCTGAGCAGTCGGAACTCTGCCCGGCAAGGAAGCCCATGGTGCGAAGTGAGGATCTGGCGGAGACTTGCATTCTGAAGGGCCACGTGGAAGTCACCAAGGCTTGGTGGTTGCAAGTTGTCGTTAACTTGTCACCGTCAGAAGCCTTCTGCAGGTCGAAGAAAGCAAGGCGCAAGACGACAGTGACACAGGCCTCCCTTGAGCAAGCTGAAAGCTCGCACTCAATCCGCCGTTGCAGGAAGGTGGCTGTTGCCGGTTCGTAGACTCTGGGCTGTGGCCTCGTTCCTGGCAATGGCTCCTGGGTCCGAGCCGTGAGATCCCCAGGTGCAGACAGACATTGTCGTGAGGGTGTGCATCCTGACAGTGCGTGGGCTCACCCTCGTCCCAGACTTACCGTGTGGCCTTCAAAATCGACCGCAATGCCTCATGAGTTGAAATCCACACGTGAGGAACAAGGCCTCAAGCTCACCGACGACAGCAGCGTGTACGCTGTCGCTTGCCTGAACAGTCACCAATATGTCACCAATCGAACCTTCTTGAAACCCATGATGTAAAGCTTTGAGCCACGTGCTGCGACGAAAATGGAGATGTGTTCGTCATCACCGTAGTGATATCATGTAGCTGCAGCATATCAGCTTGTTTTGGTTCTGAGGTTGCGAAAGTCAACGGGATGTCGGACCACCTGCAGAGGAAGTCCCACGCGCGAGTAGTGTCCTAAATTTGAATTGGTTTCCAGCCAGGTTGAAAAGTCAGTTAAAGGCAACCAGAAGTTTCGGCAGTGCCCAGCCAATATACTTGTCACCAAGATGGTGCTGGAAGACGGGTCTGGATGTGACTTCTACGCGAGTGTCGAGACGCTTGGATGCAGAAATGCGTGCCTGTGGCATCTGGTGGAAAGGCGCCCCCCCCCCCCCCCCTANNCCCCCCCCCCCCCGCTATTTGCTATTTTTGCTCTGAGACCATGAGGATCCAGACAAGCGTCCCCGGCGTAGGAACTCTGCAGATCGAGGCTCGGGAGCGGCTGCTCGAGCTCGCACCAGTCAGTTTTTCGATTTCGAGCGGGCCAAGGTAAAGGCAGATGTGGGAACTTACACTCGACAGGACGGGCCTGTCACTGGTTTCACCGTTCCGTGTTTGTCGTTTGACGCACGTGGGCCACTTGGTGACTCTTTGGCTTTCCCATCACAGAAACATCACAGAAAGCAGTGTGCTGTTTTGCAGCATCAATCCGCCCTTTCTATCTGCATATGAGCAGGCCGCTCTCAAGTCTCCGTTCCTGATTGGAATCGTTCCCCTGGTATCATTGCTCTGCATCCAGATTCTTGAACCCACGTTTTTTGAACGCAGGCCCGTGTAGACAGCCGCCGTTTCCGTGTCGCGTCTGCTCTTGGAATCGTTTCTTTCAGGCATGATCCGATTAGACAGTACGGTGCTTTCCGGAAAGCACCAGAATCTCGGGAACGATGCGATCAGGCAGCACGCAATCTGGAGAGATCATGCGATCAGACTTTAAAGCGGCATACACATCCAGTACGAAACACCAGATGCTATCTGTCAGGTGTCAAGGGTTCCCGTGCGCTGCGGAAAGTGTTTTGCGACTGGGGTTGAGTATGGCTTTGTTTGGCTTGGCTCGGTCTGCTTTTGGGCGCGGTTTTGGGCTTAGGGACGTTGGTGCTGGGTGAGTGGGGGGTATGGTGCGTGTCGGGGTTTGTTTGTTTTTTTTTTGCCGGGTGTTTCAGGTTTAGGCTTGGAGATGGTAGGAGTTTTTAGGGCATTGGGGGTCGTCTTTACATTCTTATTGTTTGGCTATTCAGATTTATATACTAGGGGATGAGAATGTGCGTGGGGTTGTTTTGTAGTTTCGTGATTTTGGACCTGGGGGCATTGGCGTGTGAAGGAGAGATTGGAGGCTTCAGGGGTTGAAATGAGTTTGTGCGGGGATCAGTGCAGGGCACTTGAGGGTTTAGGACTTTGGCTCGGGGCTTCGTTGGATATTTTTGTGCATGGTTTGTGCGGCTTCTCAGGTCCACCACTACCACTACTGCTACGCTGCTGCTGCTGCTGCTACTACTACTACTACTACTACGACTACTACTACTACTACTACTACTACTACTACGACTACTACTACTACTACTACTACTGCTGCTACTGCTACCGCCACCGCGACCGTTACCGCCAGCTGCTGCGACAGCTACTGCGATGCAGATTTCGAGTTTAGATCTCGTGGACCAACAAAAATACTTGTTGTTTGCGTATGGTTTTGCGATTGGGTGTAAATTTAGCATGGTTTCTTCGGCTTGGTAATTGCAGATGCCTGCAGTGGCTTCACCTCCTTCTGGATAAGTGGCAGCAGCACCTGATCCTTTTTCTTCTCAAGGTGGCAACATGTTCACGCACTGCTCCCTTCATGTGTTTGCAGTTTGTCTTGCATCAGGAGGTGACACTGGGCAGAGCAGTGCTCGACATTGAGGACTTAGGTTTTTGCTTTGACCGTTGTTGGTTTGGATTGTGGCGTTTTCAGATTGAAAACCAGAGATCACGGCATTTTGTTGTTTTCTGGGATGCCCCTACTGTTGTTGCAACTCGAACCTGTGTGTCTTCGTGTTTTCTTTGCAGGCTAGAAAGTGCACTGGAAGCCCTGTTGTATGGAAGCTGGCCTCTGTTTCTATATTGGCACTCCATGCTCAGTTTTGTAGTGGTTTTGCAAGAACATCCAGACACGCTTTGCCGCGGCACAACAAGCACGGACGTCAGACGTCCGCATGTACTCACGGAGGTAGGCTACTTTAGGTGGCCTGACGTACCTTCTGTTGCGACGGCCCGTACTGTGGCAAGGCAGGTGACTGGTAATTCATAATGTTCTGGCATGGCGAGTCGCATTGCCACAGGGCATGGAGCAATGAAGCTCACACTGTTGAATGATGTGATGTCTGTCAGCGGTCGGGTCATGGTTGATGCATTTCTCGTTGACGATGTGGTGTGCGTGATGCACAAAGATGCGATTTCGTCGAAGTGGCATGCTATCAATGTGATGCGGCTGTTGATGCAACATGAGATTTTGCTGACAGGTGGTGTGCTCTCTGTGCAGCATGGCTCTGAGTGCCTGTCAGCTGATGTAGTGAGATGTCAGGAGTCCAGTTGTTGGTGTGATGCCAGGAGACTTATTTATCGAGGCCCCGGACAGCGAGTCCCAAACTTGGTGGTGAGAGCGGAGACGAAACGATTGAGGGCCGGGATTCGGAGGAAGGCCTGGTGGACACTGCGGGCAGCAATCCAGCAGACATGGGCGGCAGAGGGAAGAGGCGCTGGTGGCGGGCAGGAAGGCAGGGCAGGGTTGGTGGGGGAAGCAACAACATGCTCCAATGTCACAGAGCTTGCTCCGCGGACTTTGAAGGTAACGTGTCAGGAGACAAGCCTCGTAAAGTAGATGAGTGCAGTGGGCGCGAGGCTGGCCGTGAGGCTTGTGCATCTTGCACCGGAGAGAACAAATCTGCTACCAGTTTTGCTCGTGTTTCGTAAGGTGGTCGGTACCAAAGATCAGAGTTGAAGCACTGCTTGTGTTCCCACCTGGAGTAGCTTGAATGCTTTCTATTTGTAGAACGCATAACGGAGTGTGCGAAATGGCAGGACAGGTGGCTTGCTCTTCAAGCCAGAGACATGCGTGAGGCCTGTACACCGGTACTTGTATCGAAGTGGCACCGGCGGGGCCTGTCTCTCCAGGTCACGAATAAGAAGTGGATCGATCAGAACTTGTCACCTTCGGAACCTGCGCTAAGCTCGGGCTCGGTTTGTTGCTCTCTGCGAGCCGACAGCGACGCGAAGGTCCTACCAGACGAGAGAAAGGGGACTAAAGCTCGACCAACAGCTGGTCCAGGCACCAGACCCCCGAGTTGCATGATTGTCTTCACGATGGCAAACATGCCGGAATCGCGGCATGCACAATCCGGATGATGCTCAGAGAGTCCGTTTGGAGTGCCTGCGAATGCTTTGCTCACTCCGAAAGGTATCATCATGCCCTGCGATTTTGTCCATGGTGAAGTAACGGCGTTTTTCCCGAATGTCCGTGAAAGCCAGTCTGACTTGTGACGAGCACTGCAGAGCACCGTCCCATGAACTGACAGGCGGGAAGGAATCTTCTCGAGATTCTGACAAGATCCAGCCGGCCCTGGCGCCGAGTCAGCTCGAGCCCATAGAGTCGGGGACCTGGTGCTTACATCAACTCTGCCGCGGGCTTGCACGCCCTGTGAGGACGACTGATCTCTTCTCCACGAAGAAGCATCAGGAAAACAGGCAACTCGTCCCAACGAAGGGGACACTTCACTTATGATTCGCGTTTTCGTTGTTGCTGGTGTTGCTTTCTAGCATCTCCTAGGGTTTTGATGACACGTTGATAGCTTTGCTAGCTAGGTTCGTTTAGTTTTTCAACTGCCTTTCTTGTCTAGGTGGTTTGATGACTGTTCTGCTGGCAGTTGATCGTTTGGACGATTGTTTCTCGGAAATGTGACCATGGTCGAGGCATGGTTTTGCAAAGCATATCTTCAACCTCTCGCGCTGGTTGTGTCTGTCTCTGTCACTCTGTCTCTGCCCTGTTCCCTTCCACTGCTTCATTTACATGTCGAGACTGATTGCCCCCAACTCAGAGCATGGTATGTGTTTTCAGCACCGGAACGGCTGGTCCTCAATGTCAAGCTAAACTATGGGAAAGTAGAGCGAGGAGCAATGAAGCTTGTCAACCCTCTTCCATCAATCTCAGAGATTTGTTTTAACATTTTGCTTCACACGAGAGGAAGGACTAGATGCGGTTAATTCTGCAAGCACGAGTCTGCGTCAGCTTCGTGTCCTTTAGGCGGGTAGGCAGCTTGCGCTGCTGGGCCATGGCCTCAGTTTGATTTAGAATTAGATGGACAGCTGTTACATCAGCATGCCAGGCCTAGATCTGGAGGTGTCCTGTTTCTCAGACCCTTCGGTAAGGTGGACATGGGCTCTCTACAGCGTCCACCGCCGCAGGCAGGGATCTCACCGCCCGCGGACATCTCCCTGCAAAGTTCTGTCGTCGCACGCCGGCACTTCGCTTCTCACATTTCTATTGCAGGTCGACTTCAGGCACGTGCCGCAGGCCAGAGGCTCCAGTGGCATCTCACGACGGAACCTCACCGGCTTCTTTCCTCGCAAACCCTTGAAGATCACAGATTTCGATTGTCACCAGTGTTCCCATATGTTCCCATGCAGTACAGAACAGGCAGAGTATGAGATTCGCCGGACTCTCAACCACGAGAGCATGAGATCAGTAAACTGTGCTGTCGACTGGAGATTGTTCAGGTTTGCAACGTTGTGACTTTCGAGCTTCAGCTTTGAGGTATGCTCGTGAAGAATGTGACAAACATCACTCAGTTCAAGGACTCGAATGCCAGGCGTTAACCAGCTGCCTTCACTTCAAGACGGTTCAAGACGGCAACAGTTGTCTCGGCCATCGATGCAGGACTTCGGCGAGAGCATCTCGGCTTGTCATCAAGTATCGCCAGACATCATGAAGCGCTTGTTGCTGGTAGTTTCTGGTGCTCTCCAGGGAATGATGTTCGGGTGGTGGCCTACGTGAAGATGAAATCTCAAGGCTCGAAGCGACGGATGCGCTCTGGAAGTCTCCGGATTGCTCGTTGCGGACAACGGACAACGTTACGTTTGCACAGCTAGGGTTTGCTGGAAGCAGTCTGTCGGACGCCAAATACTTTGTATGCCTGCAGGTTGGGCCATCATGTGCAATAGGTTCCCGCTTGAATGATTATGCAGATGATACAATTTGCCTTTCATGCTCCGGTACACAAACAATTGCCCCCTCCATCTAGATCCATCTAGTGCAGTTCCATGGCCATCCGAGCCTGGCTCTTAAGTAAGATAAATGCGCGCGCTTGCACTGCGCACGACAGTCACCGACCTTACCTCAGGTCCCGTTTCAGCCGAAATCTGGGTGTGTAGCCTGGTCATCATTGCAACAACCGAAAAGACACCAGCTGTTGTGAATAATTTTTGAACGGCGGGCTAGTGAGGCAAGATATGAGTCGGAGCATGACCCCTATGATAGCAGAAGGACTTGATGTTAAGCATGGGACGCAGTGACTTGCAGTGTATGGCATCCAGGCGTGGGGACAGGATGCACGACACACTGTAAGTTTCGAAGAAGGCGGGAGAGATGCGTGGGTCACCTCCAGCGCCCAGGCCACCGATACAGACATATCACAGCGTCCAATCACAGTAGACGCCCCAGAGTCGAGTCCGCTGGGCGGAATCCTGCAGTACAACAGCAACCAGCCTTGCTTTCGGACAAGGCTCCAACCCCTTACGATATTCATAGCAGGAGATCAGGACTGCCCATGTTCTCCTCAAACATGATGTGGATGGGCAACGCCACACTGTTCAGAGGCATCACGCCAGATGGACAAGGCTTGTCAGCAAACCTCCAAAGAACGGCGAAATCTAAACCACTGCTGGCCAAAAACTAGGAAAGTAGTTGGTGCTGATGAGGTCGCAGGGTTGAGCCTAGTGACCTAGTGTGCTCGAAAAAATGCCCGGTCGGGCTGGGGAGTCAGTGCACCTTGGCAGCCTTGTGTTCGTGTTGGGGTCAGGCAGACCTACCGCAACACGGAGCAAACGCATCTGCCAAGTAACGCTTTTTTTCGGCACCCACGCCCTGATCTGCGGGCGTAAGCCCTCTAGCTGGCGCTTTGGAAGTAAGCAGACGATGCAGAACATGTGTTCGGCGACGCCAAAACTCAAGAGAAAACTTCGCATGTGCATCCTGAAGTCCCTCAACTCCTCCGGGTCATCCGTTGAAGTACAAGTGTGCGAGTGCAAGCCAGAGCTTCTTGAGTAGACAAGCTTGCAGGCCAAGAACCCGTTTCCCTGAAGCTCCAGACGGACGTCCATAAGTACGCTCGGCCCTTGTGGTGCAGACGCAGAGACTCCGGGCAAGTACCCAAGTAGTGTGCAGCACAGTATGATGCTGCGCGCGGCGACTGAGGCCAGGTATACGGCATCCTTTAACTGGCAGTGGGCATGTGGCCTAGTTGCCTCTGCAAGTATTCGTTATGCCGCTATGCTGCATGCGACCTTTCGACCGAGGCCTTCAGGGTTACGGCCCCGCTGCAGTACTGCTACATCATTCTGAGCTTGGTTGACGAGGATTCTTTTCAGCTTGTTGATTTGGTTGCAGGGAGGGTTGTCTTGAATTCGACAGTGCCATATCAATGCGTCGAAAAGCTACCTGTGTTGCGTTGCTTGCATCTGGGATGCCTTGTCAGGACAGCTTGACGGAGGCAGACCTTATGTATGCTCCCAAGGCAGGATGGTTTCCTCGTTCATACAGTTGAAGAAGGCTGCAGAACAGACCTATCCGTTGCGGGTCCAGGAATTGCCATTGGAATACTTAGTCATGTATGCGTGTGCATCTCAATTGTGCTGCGTCGCGGATGTTCAGTTTGGTCTCGTTGTTGTTGAGCTTAGGCATGAGAAGAAATCAGAAGGTGAAGATCTTCCGGGTCCCGTGAGGAAACAGGCGGGACATCAACATGTGAAGCGCTATCTCGCCTTCTCTCCTCGCACGCAGCAAAACGATCAGGTGATTTTTGACGCTGAATCAGGGCAGCGAGCCCTTGAACTCGCATCGGCCTTAGAGGAGTCAGGGAGCGAAGTGTCCGACGGCAGACTCCTGAATTTTTGGTTGTCCCTCCCCTCCCCTCCCCTCCCCTCCCTCCCCTGTCAGCTCGATTGCCACTTTTGAGTTCTCTCCCCTCCTTCTTTCCCCGAACAGTTTGTTGCCTGGGATCCACTCCGGCACTTGCCCCCGCGGGCGGTCGCCTTGCAGGGGGCGTAGAAGTGCGCACCCCCGGCTCCGGCACGTGGCCGTTTGCGCTTCGACCAAAACGGGGCACTGCACCTCTATATACTATATATTTGGCTAACACGTCGCTAACGTAGCGATTGTTGTGGTTACGGCTTATGCTACATCTGTTTCTCGATCCTTCTCATTTTTCATTGTGAGCTTATTGGGTAATGACGGTTCGCGCCTTCGCGCAGATGTTAATTTTGGGGTAGTTCGTGCTGAAGACCTCCTCGACTCCCACAGCCAGCTCGGGACAGCAAAGTTGTCGCAGCAGAGGACCAAGATATTGTTGCCAATAGCCCCCCCCCCCTCTCCAGTCACCCTGATTGTGGTACTGCTGGGTTCGGGTTTGGGTTCGGGAATTGCTACCACGACCACTACAAGTACCACTCCCACGTCGGGCTTCATGATGGAAAGTCGGAGAAGAACGGAGTCGGTCGAACGTTTCCAGGGTTGACGCCATGGCTTTTGAATGGTTTTGACAACTACTCACTCCGGCATTCATTCCTTTTGGGGTATTGCGCTTGCCGCATGCTCTACAACATATCGGGGTCTGTTTTGTTGTGAATTTAGGGTCGTTGCTTCTGCAACCACTCAGTTCCAAAGCAAACGCTTGGTTGACAGTATGATTTAGGGTGGGGCGGTGAAAGGCTTGGACTCGGAATTTGGAGGTGGGGAGCGCGCCACAAGGTTACCCGATGTTTGCGTATATCGCGTCGGTCCATGAATCCGGCGTGAATTGACGGTGTCATCGCAGTGAGCGAACCCTGTAATGCAGTGCCCCGGTTCGCGAGTCTGCGGAATACACGAACCCTGTCTTTCCAGCTCGATTGCAGTGCCAGAATCGATTGTACTCAAACCCCCCGCATGTCAGTCAGAGGAGCATAGAAAGAGTCGTAGATGTCGCTGGCTGGGCGCTTCAACGTTTTCACGGCGGCTGTCATGGGCTCTGAGGAACCTCCGCCTATGTTTCATCCAAAATGTGCACCGTGCGAGAGGCATCGCGACAGGGCGCAGCGAAGCTTGAGCGGCTGGCAGTCGACATGTTGTGTCATCCAGACGAGAGCATCACCTGGGGCTTGGTCGAGGTGCTTCAAGCGCTGCTGTGACCACTTGCGGGCATGCTGCCGGAGCTTCCTGCGATGCTGCTCCTGCTTTTGCTGCTGTTGCATCAGACGAGAGCAGCGGCAAGTGACGCCGGCATACCTCAACCTGCAGGCTCGGAACACTTGAAATCGGGCCGTGATTAAGGACCATGCTGACTGATAGATTGTAGCCTACAGGGGTCACATCTTGCCATCTTGACAGCTTGTAAGGCGTATAAGCTGTCAGACCCGCGAACACGGGAGCTTCACGTTGACCTCTGCCGGCCAGGTCGAGATTGTTAGTGCAGAAGAAGCTGCTCTCCACGAGATTCCGAAGGACGGGTGATTGTCACGGGGAGCTGTGAGCAGTTCTCACGCAGGCGTTTACTGCTGACATTTGTTGAAGGTTTCGGGAAAGGGTAGGGCTGGAAGATAGCCAACAGCGTCGGTGCAGTTGCCAGGCGAAAGCCACGCAGCTTTCAGGGCTTAGTTAGGCGGTGGTAGGAAGACGAGAATCGACAGGTTGTGGCTTGATGCACGAGCCAACAGCATCTGGACAGGAACTGTACAACCAGGTATTTTCTTGCGCGCAACGTGTGACCTATGAAGCGTTGCTGCATGTTTTGCAGTGCAGCTCGCAGAGTGCATATCGTGTTGATATTCGAGTCGCTCTCCCGACCGTGTCAAACCCGGGCTTTGACGAGCAACATGCCGTGATTAGCCAGTGTAGCCCTTGTATTCTCAGGCTTTGAACCTCCAGCTTGCTAAATGAATTGGGGTAGGCAGAAGCTTTCATGGACAGGACTGCCAGGTCAGCCCTCCGGAAGATCGCATGGGCACCTTCCAGGCTGTCACGAACCCCCTCGGGCGGGCACCTGAGATACGACTCTGGATGGCTGCTGATGAAGGGAAGCACAACGGGTCGATGAGCACTGCTTCGGCCTGAGGTTCATATACAACTACTTGGGGCCGACGAACTATTTCTTTATCAGAAGGACTGCAATCTGCCGTTGCCATGCTCCAGGGAAGTAGTCCTGTGGCATGCATGACTCGTGATTGGCAATGCATGTTCGCATGGCTCAGCAATAGCGTGGACGGGGTCGGAAAAAGGGGAACTAACCTGGAGCTTGCGGTCCCGGAGGCGCTGTAGTTCTCAACAGAGGGAGAAACACTGCGCAGTGGCAAGGACCATGATCATCATCATCTTCTTCCTGAGTGTTCTGGTGATCCTGGAGCCTTGGCTCAAGCTTGAAAAGAGCGAACTTAACCGCCCCTGGGCTCTGCTCCGTGTCAGGCCTGCGTCTACCTGATCCTCCAGATTCTTTTGCCAGGGCTCGAGATCTACGATCGACTCCAACCTACACCCAACGCGAATTAGGCCTGCAGCTTGTTGGCATTATGCTTGCTCTGCACAGTCTGTACAACCGGAATCCAATGCAACTGAGGAGTGGCAGTGCATGGCAGCACAGCCAAAGGTTGAAGGCTGCTCCCAAAATACTCTCCAAAAGTGTTGGGCCGCGAATCCAAAAACATGGATCGATGCTCCCAGCAGTAGCAGTAGGAGCGGCAATCGGTCAATTCTCACGAAGGAACGAAAGCTGTGCGTGGAGCGCGAGGAGCCTCAATGTAGGGCTATAATTGACTCGATTTGCCACCGGACCTGCTCGACAAAGACACGACGGGTCCTGCATCCAGTTGCTCTTTTCATGTGCCGCCAGAGTCCTGCTCGGGCACCGGGCAAAAGGATTCACCTGAAACGAACTGGCACGAGCAAGATGATAACATTCTATAGTCTCGGCAGCTGTCTGATATAACACGAGAGACTTCGTGTGAATCCTCAATTTATGTCTGGTCAAAGCTGCCAGCCTCCATTCCCGCACAAGCAGGTGCTTGCAAAGCTCGAGCGGAACATGTACGTCTCGTGGTCTGGCTTGCAGTGTGTTGACTCGGCCCGCGGCTGGGCCGCGCCAGGGAGTTTTGATGCGTTTCTCGCGCTTGGCCGTCATGGCTGGGCCGTTGAAGAAATCCGATACGGTTCAGCACCACAACATTCACAACGCTGTGCTGCTACTCTACTTTGTTTGTCTGTTTCAAGCCACCGCCTGTCAAACAGCTCTAACTTGGACTGCTAGCCCATAGCCAGAGACAATGGCATTGACCTTGTGCGAAAGACTGTAGAATATGCCTCGCTTCAAGACAAGTGATGTCGTTGACTCCGAGACACAGTCAGGAGCCGAGCACAGACCGTGGTGCAATCGTGGCTGGTATGCATTGCCCTGATGCTGTTAGGCGATGCACCTTTGCAGAGCTGTCCTTGTCAGCACCCTTGCTGTCCCGTTCTCGGTACGTTGTGCAATGATGCCAGTGTAAGTTGTGTTTAGCGAGGCGAAGCCTGCAAGAGATGGGCTGTGAACATCCCTCACCTGTGGCCTGGCAAGTTGGCTTTTACGTTGCTTGGTTCACTGCTTCATGGCTTCAGGTGCAACTACGAACCATTCCGCAGGCGCTTGGTGGAGGAGATGTCATCGTGCAGGCCAAGTCTGGAACAGGCAAGGTGCGGAGTGGAGGTCACTGAATCTTACAACATGACCTGCACCCTGGCCAGGCAAGACAATTGCCTTCTGCTCTGTGGTGCTGGAAGGCCACTCTAGCAATCACAAATTCCACTAAGGTTGGCCATTCATCCACCACTGCTTTGATGAAGGTGTGAACACATCCAGCTCGGGAACATCACAGGACTGCCAGCTTCGTCGTGCAGAGGGAACTTTCTCGTGGATGTGTGCTACAGTAGGCTCGGGCTTCTAGGATTTCACTCAGTTTTTTCAGGTTGTCCAAGTTTGGTGATGCCCACGAGCCCCACGACTTCATCCCCCTTGTTGTCTTGTCGGCTTCATGTCACCTTTGACACTTTAGTGGTGGCTGCGAAGCTGTGTTCGCTCTGGCCGTGATATGCCGAAGTATGCGAAAGCAGTCGCAGTGGCTGTGGGGCTCCTGGCTGTGGCTCTATCGGTAGCTGCCCCTGTCATGGCATATCACGGCGTCGTCGCTCTGATGGTTACACATGCTGGGATTACAGGACTTGCATGTGTAAGGCACCACGCACAGGTCTGTGATTAGAGACGCAAGGTACCAGAGCGGTCCGGCCAGCACACTGATTGCTCGTTGACAATCTCTGGGAAAAAGCTAATAGTCAAATGTTGTAGTTGTTCGTGATGTTCTTCAGTTTGAAAAAACTCCGCTGGTCTGTGCCTGAAAAGGCCCTGGTGAGAAGGATCCAGTGGGAAGGGGATCATTGCTATATCATTGCTCGACCGCAGGCCATCATCCTGGCGCCAACACGCGAGATTGCCATGCAGGCACCTTCATCCACAGCGATCGAAAGTCGATTGTGGGCTTGGCATCGTAGCGAAGATCTCCGACGAGCTGAGAAGACTTGGCTGGACTGCACCTCGGACGTTTTGCACTTTCTAGGCCCCCTAGGCCCTAGGCCCCTAGACAAGTCTTGGAGTCAGGTACATCGTGCCAGTCCTGGATGCTCGGATCTCATCCGTCGAGTCTCCAGGCGCAGCCAGGCTCTTCCGGTCTGAGCCTGCGAGGTTGCCTGCTTCATTGGTGGTGTCCCTGTAGAAGAAGACGAGGTGTGATCTCAGCATTCTCAGCGCACAGCGAAGCCGAAGGTTGAGAGCCAGAGCTGACAGGAGAGGCTTCAGTCCAAGGGAGCACCGCACATCGCAGCCGCGGGCCAAGACTCTGAACCTCTTGGAGAGAGGCTCTCTTGTCTTCGTTCGTTCGAGGTCGGAACGCCTGGTCGCATGTTCAAGCTCTTGCGCGATGGCCTTCTCCTCACAGATGCGTCGGTTCCTTGGCAGTGTCAGGACCGCCAGCTGCAGCTGCAACGTATGAGACGACCCTGTGGCTGCAAGAGATTGAGGCGGTTCCTCGTCCTCGATGAAGCAGACAAGCTGCTGGACGCAAATTTCCGGTCCGACACCCTGGACCTCAGCGGAGATGTTGGCATGGGTGCTTCAAGTTTAGGACCAGGCGGTTGTGGTGAAGGTGCAGTTTTTGACTTTGTCTTGCGCGCAGTGTTGAGTCACCGGGCCGCCAGCTGTAGGGCAGCGGATGAATTTTTGGAAAATCCACTCTGGATCCGCCCCGCAGCATTGAGCCAGTTCCTTACCGGGGCCCGGGGCGGCCTCGAAGCCTCTGCGGCCATGGCCCCCAAAAAGGCCAGCCTTTGGACCACGGCAAGGCACTTTTTTTTTGCTGTTTCGCTCGAGGCCAAAGCGGAGGCAAAGCAGCCGAAAGCCAAGGCAGGCTTGAAAACTACTGTGCAACAGTGCAATGTGCACTGTTGAATCCATGCTGAGGCGAAGGGCGCTGCAGCCCCTCAGGCGGAGGAGCCTCCAAAGGAAGAGAAGGAAATGAAGGAGGAAGAAGCATTGAAAGAGGAGGTCAAGGAAGAAAAGCCAAAGGAGGCTCCTAGGGCAGTATCCGTTTGCCAGAGCTAGGCCAAGTAGCCATAGAGCGGACTCATGCAGGAGGCACAGCCCAAGCAAGAAAGCGAAGCAGAGGATCCGAAACAGGACGCCGCAGAAGAGGCACTCCAGGAGGACCGAGGGCAAATGGTGGCCGGACCATGCCTGCTGACAAGCCCTTGTCCATTTCTTGGCAGGACGCCCAAATGGAAGATAAGAGTAAAGAGCGTGAGGAAGATGCGCCCAAAGACAGCCGAGCCAAGGTGAATGCAGGCGCATTTCCTCTAGCTCTGACCTAACCCATCTCAGATCTCTTACAAAATGCACTCGTCCGGCCTGGATCCTGCGAGGTGCGGTGGCTCTCAACCTTGATGATGCGACGCTGAATGCTATGCCTGTCTGCGGTGGCAAAGTGCTCATGGCGCTCACCGAAGGGGGGATGCAGTACCTACTTGCCTCCGCACGTTGCAGTGCCGGCATTAAGGCCGGTCGCTACATGTACGAGGTCAGGATCTTGGAGTCGCTGAACCCATGTGAGACGGCAGGGCACGGCCGAGCTCCGAACCCGCGACAGCTGGTCCGAGTGGGCTTCTCCTTGAAAGGAGGCTCCTTGTTCCTCGGCGATGGGGAAAACAACTGCTCCTTCGACTCCGAAGGCTTCTTTGTGGACGACAAAGCCAGGAGAAGAGCTTCCTACAAGTTCGTCAGAGATCAAACTGTGGCCGTCCTCCTGAATCTAGACCCCTCTATGGCGAATGCCAACACAGTAACTTGTCTTGAAGCAGGGGCATCTTGCCAGTTCTTGGAGTTCGAGTAGGTGAGTAGGTACAGTTTGCATCTCATTTGAGGTGAGTCTTTTCATCGATGGCCAGCGCGCTTCTGATCCACAGCCGCTGCCGGAAGCTCTTGTCGGCAAGCCCCTGTACCCAACGGTGACTTACAAGAATGTGCACCTTTGCGATGAATTTGCGCAGCCAGTTTTTCTGCAATGCTTCCGGAGCGGATCACAAGGTTAAGATGTGATGATGTTTTCTGATGGCCGTTGCTACTCGTAAGGCATCTGTAGTTTCCAGTGGGTGATTCTATAGGCTGGTTGGGTGAGATGCCAGCGGGGCAAGGAGATGGCGAGGGACCGCATTTCTAAGGTCCTTGGAGGTGAATTTTGGGCCATCTCCGCGCACATCCCTGCCGTTCACCTGCAACATGCTCGCCCACGCTGCAGCGGAAGATCTCGAGATCCCATCTGTAGCGAAGCGGAAGGACGGCAAGGGTGAGCTAGTGATGCCTGTGGGACTGCCCGACACCGGCTATTTTGACTGGGTTGACAAGTTTCTTGTCGACAACCCCGACTTCGTGGAGCTCAGCGACCGGAAGATGTTGGCTACTGCGCAAGCATTTCTTGTTGTAGCTAACCGATGATCCTTCATGATCTACATTGCTGCATTTTGGGCCGCTCTCGCTCTCGCTCTAGCTCTCGCTCTCCGCTCTCTCTCTCTCCCTCTCTCTCTCCCTCCACCTATCTGTCCTTATCTTTCTCCATCTGTCCCTCTCTCTCTCTCTCTCTCTCTCTCTCTTGCTTTTCCTTGTCGCATCTCGCCACTCCCCTGCATCCACTGTGCTCATGCACCAACTAGCGCCAGCACGATCAGGACTGGGCTTGGAAGAGCGGAATCTGGAAGGCGGGGAAATACTACAGTGGATCTGGCGACAAGCCAGAGGCAAGCACTGGTGTGCCAGCAATTGACGACTGGAGCGTCGGAAAAATCATTTCAGCAGTAGCACCCACCTTCCCGCGGAAGTACATCATCCCAGAGATGAAGGCTAACCTTGTGAAGTCTGATCGTGACGAGGGCCTTATGCGATTCACGTCCGCAGACTTTCACCGCAAGGCTGTCGTCATCATGGGGGAGCCTGATCAGCAGTACAAGGAGTGGATCCAGAAGCTAGTGCTGGAGGAGAAGCAGGCTCAGGCAGAGGCAGAGAAAAGGAAAAAACAAGCGGAGGCCGAGCGCCAACGGCAACAAAAGCGGCAGCAGGAGGAAAGAAAGCGGAAAGCCGAGGCTGCCCGAAAGAACTACGAGGCCGCCAAGCGTCGGAGGCTCGGGGAGGAGGTCGAGGAGACCGAAGAACCGGAAGAGGCTCCGGCTGAAGAGCCGGAGGACGAGGCTCCGGAAGAAGAGCCGGATGTCCCAGTCGAGCTAACAGAGGAGGAGAAGGCCTTGAAGTGCCGGAAGCCTTCAATGCCGGACATGACAGAAAAGGAACTTGCCAGATCGTATGCAAGCTTTGCTCTACCTCTCAAGTCGGAGGGCTTTGATGAGGTGGCCTATGCTTGGGGGAACGAGTCCAGCTGTTCCGAGTTGCTAAAGGCATGGATACTGGAGAAGAAGCAAACGCAGCGTGCGGAAGACTTAGCTCCAGGAACTGACTTCAGGCAGGCGTGGTCTGCATGGCAGAAGGCGGTGCAGGACTGGAGGAAGGCTCAGACAGATTTTAAGGATCCCGCGAAGAGGCGGGCCTTCAAGGAGCAGCGACTGGAGGAAGCCAAAAAGAAGATCCAAGAGGAGAAGCAGACCCTCATTGATGCTGGTGACGAAGAAGGGGCCCGAGCCCTTGAAGAGAAGGTCGAGGCCGAACAGAACGAAGACGTGGACACGGAGAATCTTGATGTGGCGCGCTTGCACATCCGGCTCGGGCTGGGGGTTCAATTTAGATCACTTAGCCGTGTAGCTCATGCTGTACTCGCAACATGCCGTTTAGTACAATGGCTGATTTATCATAATCAGAGAGGGACAGGCTTCCTCATGTGTTGGATTCTTGAGACTTCCAGGTCCTTGCAGTGGAGGACATCAACGACATTGGGAATGGAGAGCCGCTCTTTGGGCAGTTCCAGTACGAAGACTGGATTTTGCTCAGTACGAGATATGAGCTGCACTTGTTAGCCCATTCCTTCAAGAAGGACCTGAATGATCCTGATAGGCCAAGCTTCGATTTGAAGCACCTGAGCTTCTACTACCAGAAGTACTACAGAAAAGCGTGGAACTTCTCCCAGTTTGGTGTCAAAGAATTTGAGGAACTCGTCGAGTTGCTGAAGGACTCTGTGAGCGTTGATGCCAGTGGACATTTGAAGGCAGACGAGCCTGAGGAGACTCCCCTAGAGCGCTTCGTCAAGCTGACGGAGGACAATCGAAGGGAACGCCAAAGGAGAATAGACGCTGGCGATGAGACAGCTAGGCTGAAGTTCTCCAGACCCCAAGCGCAACGAGGAAATGATCGAAGCGAGGGTAAGGGAGGATACGGCAAAGGTGGCAAGGGATCCTACGGGGGTGGTGGCGGCGGATCTGGCTATGGTGGTCAGAAGAGGCCATACACGCCGCCTCCCCCTGCGCCTTACAAGCAGACAAGAACTACATACGGCTGTGGGGGAGGTTCGTATGGAGGTGGAGGCGGGGGTGGCTATGCTGGCGGAGCAAGAGGCACCTACGGCCGATGATGCTTCCTCATTGCCTCCTAGATTGACATGGCAAGTGGCGGAATCCCGTAGCTGTAGCATATCCAGCGTGAGTGGACAAGTCGCCCACGTGTCAAAAAAAGGCCTGCTCAGCTTCTGTGCGCCTCGTGCTCTTGGAGCATGTAGCAGCACAGCGTCAAACCAGCAAAACAGCAAGTACACCTTCGACTCAGCCTGCCCAGGCAGGACATCATTTCGATAACAGAGCTGGTTTTCACCAAGCTCGGATCTCAGCACATGCCGCAGACTGGTTATACGCTTTTCTGTGGCTGGCATTTTCATGTCCAGGTCTCTTCAGTTTCTGGCCGTCTCTGCCACCTTTCCCCCACCACTTGTCGCACTTGCAGAGGATCTTTTCGTCCATGCCATGACCTCAAGCCGTGGCATGTGAATTTACAACCACATCCAGGCGGTTGTTCCGATCTTTGCAGGTGGAAAAGAAGCGTGCAACCCGGGGTCAACCTGTCATGCGAGACTTGCCCAACAAGGCTCCGTTGGCCACGCACGTGCCACGCCTGTGCTGCAGAGCTTGCACTGGTCGCTCTTGACAGGTGTTCTTGTGCACGTCAGCTGTGAAGAAGGATGAGGACCTGTGCAGTTCCTGTCTAGAACATCAGCAGCTCTGTGCAGAGCTGAGCTTGTGCGGACTAGTGCAGGAAGGGTTGAACATCTTGCAAGAAGATGGAGACGACGCTGATGTCGTAGAGACAGCCTTGCTCAAGGCTCATTGGAACTTGCAGCTGCAAGGGTGATGCGCTTCTCTGTGATGGTCTGCGTGTTGCAGGGAGTGCTCCATCTCCGATACGTGTTGCAAGGCTTCCCCGCCGCACTTCATTCCGGGCCTTTTGTATTGATAAGGACGAGGTGAACATGATTTTATCATACCGCGTGCCGTCTGAGGTTATCATGTCAGGCAGAAGGTGCCTGCACTGCTGGAAGTGTTGACGACTGCGGCCTATCAACAGGCCTGTGACTGTCAAGAATCAAGAATGTGGGCAAGGCAAGCTTCGCAAGCAATACCGTACCCCACAGGCTTTCGTCTTCGTGGGGGATTCCAACAATGCCATCCAGATTGCGGAGCTGCTCAATCAGGTTTGCCGTTGGTGCACTGAGTGAGGAGCTACACGAGGTTTGTTCGCTTTCGTCACGTCCGAAGCGCAGCTAGGCCGGAGTGCCTGCGGCTGCAAGCACTGGGAAGCTGGACCAAGCCTGGCGGGCGCAGGCCGCTTAGAGCTCTTTTTTCCCGGACGCCCTGGCGGGCTTTGCCCTGCGCTTTTTTTTTGCTGGATTGTCATCGCTTTACCCTGCGTATTATGCGTGGCGTAGCATTACGAGCTTCAGCTGTTTTGGATGTCCAACTCACTTCGTTCCAGTGTGAAAGCAAATTGATTAAATTTTTATTGTCATCTTCGGCATCCGACGCTTTGGTTATTCTTTGCAAATGAAGCCACACCTCAACCAGCTTCGACCAGCTGCCTCTGTCAGTTATAAAAGCGCCACTTTTCGATGTGCTATCTTATCAATTTGCTAACCATTTCTATTCCTGTTGCTACGTGTTCGTGGCTAAAACATAGCCTGGACCTGTGATCTCATGTCTCCGCGGCTCTGTGGTCTTAGTGTCTGCGATGGATCGCCTTCTTCTCAACACAAGTCCAGCTCACGAAACTACTGGATTTTATAAGTGTCTACAAGTAAAACGTGCAGATTGGCCCCATGTTCAAGCTGTCATGTAAGTCTTTTCGCGCTACGGGAGTGGGAGTTTCTCTCCGGGGGCGGGGCTTGTCGTGGCGTCAGCAGGCTTTCGCTGGACTAAAACGCTTCCAGTACAGAGTGCTGGTCTGCACGGTCACCTTCTTATCGCTCATGGAGCACGATGAGCTCGGAGACATGGCATCTTGTTTCACTCGGGGGCCGAGGACTTGATGGCTCGCGGCATTGATGCAGAGAAAGTCGATGTGGTGGTTAACCTGGACCTGCCAACAGAGAAGGATCCCACACCGTCAGCGGGTGTGGCTTCTTTCAGTCTGGCCACCGCAGGAAACCTACTTGCACCGTTCTGGGCGAACTGCCCGTTTCGGGTCGGTGGGCTGGATGGTTTCGCTGGTTTTCGAGGGCGATGAGGCCCTGCTCTGTAGAGACGTCTACTGGTAGCATCTCCCGCGCCTAAGCCGAGAGGCCGAGCACTTGGAGTTCTTTCAGAAGCAGCTGGGCTTCGAGCTGGCGGAGTACGCAGACCGGGAGGTGCGCCCTCTCTGGGCGCTAGCAGCAGAAAGCAGGGGCACCGTCCTTGCGCCCCGTCCTGAGGCAGCGATCCAGTCGAGGCTCGAAGCACTGAGTCTTCCGCAGGCCGGCGGGATTCGTCAAACTCTCTCAGTGACTTGTGGGACTCCGTTCGATGCAGGATGCGATGGCGCCAAGCCAAGCAGAAGTCGCCGGAAGCTCTGTTTGGGCCGTGCGAGTAAGTCTCGATCATCCATGCGAAGCCTCGACATCTCCGGGCCGAAAGCTTCGAGCTATATGCTACATGTAGTTTTCTAGCACACATGATGTTACAGACTCGTGCGGAGTGGTGGAGTGCCTGAAAGTCTCGTTTACCCGACTCCGGCTGGCGGAGTACTTGCTACTCCGGTTCAAAGATGTAGTACTGTTTAGTTGCCGAGGATACCCAAGACAACCTGCGAAGTTCAGCCATCCTCAAGCTAGTGGGTCGAACTGTTTGGCCCAGCGCAGTATACTGGATGTCGCACGACGTGTATGGTAGGCGTACGGACAGCATTCGTCAAACTGCAGATGTTGGCGAGGTAACGGAGCGCCTTGCAAACCCGTGCATCATGCCAGCGCATGCCTGATGCCTGTTGAGGAGCAGTTCCCACAGCAGCCGTTTCCGACCCCAGGGACGAGTGCCGGAGGCAGCTTCGCTGAGAGATGCCGAGTGTGTGCAAGACGCAGAAGTTTTAGTTATCCTCCGCAGAAAAGGGAGAAGGGCTGCAGGGCGACTGCGGACTCGGCTTAGTTTGGGGGCCCCGGGCTCTTGCAGGCGAGAAAGCGAAGGAGCGAGGAACGAGGAGCTCTCAAGGCAGGCCTCTTCAAGGCCTTCTGCGCATCCATGCGCAGCTGTAATTCAGGGATGCCCTCTGACGACTCCTTGCAAGGCCCCAAGAAGCAAGCCCGGCAGGCACGCCAGTAATTCCCTCTGGGACTTGTCAGTGCTCTATGCTTGGCGGGGATTGCTCTCACCGGATAGATGTGTCCAATATGGTATGATAATGGCAACATGGGATAGCGGCAGTGGAAACATCCCGGCTGGAAATGGTCCGACAAGGACAGAGAGCGGCTGCCTGCTGACCCTTCACCAGGAAGCTGAGCCAGGCATGAAATCCGCGTATTCAGAAAGGAAAGCTGCTGTTTTCGAGGACTCCTGGACACAACGGAGATCCCTCCGGACGGACGTAGTCAGAGCCTGCATGCCGGCCGCGGCGGGGCGTCTCCAGCAGGTCCCTTCCCGAGCTCCCGAGCCGAGAGGGTGCCAGCTGAGGCTTAGCCTTTTGCATTGCACCAAGACCGTAGCACTCCGACTGCTACAGCCACTCACACCGCTCATGCTCAAGCTTCGCGGGCGATGCTACTTTGCTGCAGATCAGGGTGCCACGGACGCCAAGATGTGTTTTCCCGCGGCCCGCACATAAGGCTTCACGGAAACGATCTGCCACTGTAGGGTTTTTAATGTGAATCTAGACCTTTCGTCGAGAAGCTATTCTTCCCGCTTCTGCCTCTGCATGGACTGTTCATCGCAGAAAGTTGACCGACATTTTGACATTTCAAGGCCGTCCTCATGCTATCGCGGCCATGCGCCGCCCCTGCATGGCACAGGCGGCGGGCACATGGAGCAAAAGGGCTAGCGTTCTGGCTGCCAACCACACATCCAATGCTTGCCCTTCGCGGGGTGCTGTGCGCTGCGCTCACAGACTCGGCCTGCAGTCCCAAATGATCAATTCGGCAATTCCCGAAAGGTCCAGCGCAGGCGAGTCCAGGAGCTGTTAGCATGAAGGGCCTGATGCCACCGCCGGCTTGCAGCCCAGTTTTTGAGCATGCGGTCTTCGGCTTCCAAGTGCAGGAGGGGGTGTTTCTGTAGTCGCAGCTCCGGCGGTGATGTTTCTTTTTTTTTTTTTTCAGTTGTCTGATGTTTTTGCCAGCCGAGCTCTACTCGGCCTTTGATTCGCTCAAGTCCTGTAGAAGCCACGTCATGTCTTTCGCAACTGACTCGGGCACTACCAGCCTCGGTCTCTTACAGCTGCCGCTGCCAGATTCCGATGTGTGCTGCTTCAGCAGCCCGCTAAGATTCTACGTCCTCACGAGTCTCATGCAGTGCCTCACATTCAGGCAAGGAGCTCAGCGAATGTTGCCGGTTGAGCATACCATAGCATACCGACCATGTGCTCGTCAGCAACGCTTGAGCACTCCGTCTTGGTGCTCGTTTCCCTGTTTCCCTTGATGGACGCCTCTTTGACTAAAGATCACTAGTGCGAGGATGCACCAGGGTCACTAGAGCAATTTCTTGCAGTAGGTGCATGCGGGGTTGACAGAGAGGTGACCAGAGACCCACCCATTCTTGTGCTTACTTGTAACCGCAAAGAGACTATGTTGGCGTGCCTGTATGTCTCTCTCGCCCTGTGACTCCATACTGATCTTTCCCTCCCCTGCTTGCTTGCGCAATCTTGCTGTGTACGGTCGGAAACGCAATGCAGTTCTAGCGAGTGCATGTGACGATGCGGTGCAAATCCTACATGCAGATCTCACTGTACCATTACTAGTCAGTAAAGGACTTTTGTTGGCTTTAAATTTGGAGTTCTGCTTCTTGACGTTCGACTTTCGCTGTCTCTTTTCAATGAAAGTTGAAAGGTCCTGGACGACTGGTGTGGAAACTGAAGCCTTGAAGCTCCTCTCACTGCAGCCTCTTCTCAGGTTCCTGAGTGGCAGTCTTGGATGCTGGACTGCAGCTTTGCAGCTTGGTGCCACATACCACGAGTTCCAAGAATCTGGGGAAACGGCTACTCGTTTAGGCCAAGTACGCGGAGCAGGGCTCGGCCAGTGCCAGCAACCCCTTCCTGGCGAGTCTAAGCTCCGGCACTCGCCAGCGTCTGCCTCTCGGAAATCTGTGATGCAAAAGCCCCACATCTCGGCGTTACATGCATGTGAGGTCTCGACGCCCTGTGGCAGAAGCATTGCGATGTCTGGATCGGGACCTGACAATGCGGCACAAAAGCTCGAGTGCTTTCGCAGCTTCTGCTTCTTGGTGCTTGGGAAAGTGAGGCATTGTCGAGCTTAACTCAGGCAGGACATATTGATGACGGTTGCATGTAACTGCTTCATGCAATGCTGGCGACTGAAGAGCTTTTTCATGGCTTCGATACCAATGGAAAGCATGGGTAGAACACCACCTGGCCACGCTAGACATTGAGTTGCGTCCCGGCGTGTTCACGGTACCTGGTAGGTTAGCATCTCGGTGGTTCTGCCTGCTTCGTTTTGACTCCTTGGATCCTCAGCCATGATGACTCCTCTCAGCGCCATGTTGCGACGACAGGTTTTCCAACTGCGTCTGCAGAACCCTGCAAGGCAATACTACCACTCCCTGTGGGCCATGTCTGTGCGCAGTAAGGCGAACATGGCTGGTGAGCTGAAGAAGCCTGAAGAAGCTTCTCTCGACCTCAATCATTTGATCACAGCAAACCGCTGGTCCGGCGACGAACTCGCGGCGGTTAAAACCACGCACCGGGAGCCCACTGACTGGGTTGACTGGGCATCTTACATGACTGTGAGGACCCTCAGGTCCAGCTTCGACCTCTTCTCTGGCTACAAATTCCGAACCACCTTGGGGGCCATGCACGAGCGGGATTGGCTTCGTCGTGTGATCTTCTTGGAAACAGTGGCAGGAGTTCCAGGTATGGTGGCGGGTATGGTGCGTCATTTGCATTCGCTGCGTCTCATGCGCCGAGATCACGGCTGGATACATTCCTTGCTTGCAGAGGCCGAAAATGAGCGCATGCATCTCCTGATCGCACTGAATTTGCGACGTCCTGGGCCGGTCTTCAGGGGAATTGTCATTGCAGGTCAGGGGGTGTTTCTCACTTGGTACAGTTTGATGTACCTCGTCTGCCCCCGATACTGTCATCGTTTTGTCGGCTACCTCGAGGAGGAGGCTGTCATCACTTACTCCAAGCTTATCGATGCCATCGACGCTGACCAGCTTCCAATGTTTTCCAACATGAAGGCTCCACTCTTTGCGCGCCAGTACTACAATCTTCCCAAAGAAGCCATGGTGCGCGACGTCTTTCTGCAAATTCGAGCAGACGAAGCTTGTCATCGCGACACAAATCACTTCTTCTCCGATCTGAAGCCGGACCAGCCGAACACCAAAGTCGACCATTTGCGCAAGGGCCATTTTCAAAACCAGAACGTGCATTCAGGCGTCTTGAAGCTCCAGAGAGAGGCTCAAAGCAAGGTGATGCATGAAACCTTTCAGAGCCTAGATCACGATCACGACGGCTTCATCAGCACGGATGATTTGCGCTGGGCCTTCCAGCAGCATGATACACCCTTCAACGACGAAGATTTGGACGAGATGGTAAGGAAAGCAGACAGGAACGGGGACGGCAAGATCGACTACCAAGAGTTTGTCAAAGTCATGAGTGAAGGCGACTTCCATTGACTTATGGAGAAGTCGCAACGGCTCCTCAGCTATCGCAAGTTGAGGGCAGGTTTTCGTGATGTGTGGATGGAACAGCTACCCAGGATCGCACTCACCCAGTTTGATTTCGTCCAAAAGAAGATGCCGCCAGAGGAGAGCAGCTACAATGGCCGGTAGCCTGAGTCGTTGCTTGTACGTGAGTCCCAACAGGCTCGCTGATTGTTTGTGCATGACCCTCGCTTTCTGCGATTCTTTTGGAAAGTGCCGCAGTTATACAGCTGTACAGAACCAAATCAATTCGAAGACACCTCTGAGAGCTCTGAAAGAGTAGAAAGATTGCCCGGGACTTGCTTGCAGAGATCACACTTAGGAGCTTAGGTTTCGATGCCTTTGCTCTGAAGCGTCTTGGCTGGGAGCCGAGACTGGCCAAGCTGAAGATGGCCCCACCACCCGCATCATCCGCACCCTCCTCCATGGAGGACATGCCCGAGTCTCAAGTGCCGTGAGCTGTTTGTGCTCGTTGACCCTTTACGCACGCAGACGAACGTGACTTTGTGGGAGCTTAGCTGTATTCAGGTTATGCCTCCTCGAGAAGTACGACAGGATCGTGACAGGGGTGCCATTCCAGGTAAAGCAGCAATCTCTGTGGGCAGCTTCGGTCTAGGATGGTTAATGGCCGGACATAAGCGCTTTCCTTGCTGTGGGGTTGCCCGGAGTGCTGGGCAAGAAAGATAATGACGGCGACAGTACGACTGCCGTCACCAGTTCCAGACGACAGAACAAACTTGATCGTTCCATGATCTGTGGAGTTCATATTTTTCGTCCAGGAGCTCGGATGGCACCATTGGAGAGCAGGAGATTTCGGTTGGGTCGTAAGCTTGAAAAACGATGCTGTAGCTCCGGCATCAGGTGTCGCATCACTCAGCTTGACCGTGTCCCAACTCCCATTCTTCAGGAATTGGTCCAGCTTGTCAAAGCCCTTGACAAAGGATCCTTCTGGGACGAGGCATCTTGGTGGCCTTGCTGTCATGAGACGACATGTAAGTGTCCATGTCGAAGTTGAAGGCTAAGCTGACGTCCTTGACGAAGGGCCTGGGCTTGGATGCGGGACGACTGAAACTGACGTTCTTGCCTCGAGCAAACGTGCATCTAACATTGTGTGACCATGCCATTTGATGTCCTCATTTGGTAAGGTCCTTCGCGCGGATGCTTTTCGAGGGCCCCCAAGCCGCTTTGTACCAGGCAGGCGCTCGATTTTTCAATGATCAGAAATCTGAGTGTAACGAAAGGATACGAGCAGAGACGTGAGCTTGCTGTACCCGCGGAAGCTTAGTAGACCCGAACCGCATAGTCGGGCCTGTTGGTGGTCAGGTGGTACGACAGGACTTGCAGAAAGCCATGTCTTCGCCTGAATGGGACCCCCTCTGAGCTGTCTTTCAGTTTCAAGCCTTGGCCGAACTGCAGCTTGAAGCCGCAGCCGGCGAGCAGACTTGTGCTTGATTGCTGTGGCTACAAGCTTCTGACACCGAGGATGACGGCAGCTACGCCCCGATCCTCATCCGCTTGGCATGGCACTCATCAGGCGAAGCATGGCGAAGCCGTTTTACACCTGGTGATGTCCGGCTCTGATGACTTTGTGCGATGTAGAGGCACCTACAACAAACTGGATGGCACTGGGGGCTCCAACGGAGCCACCATGAGACACGCTTTGGAGGCTGGGGGAGAGGTTGTTGGAGTGGCTCCAGTCCAGAAAAGGCCGCCAAGCCATGATGTTATAATTGATGTGGAATACTCAATCACCATGCTGCGCTCACATGTATGATGCTTCTAGTGTAACTTCCAGTTCGGTAGTGGCATTTTTGCAAGTTGCCCTGTGCCCAGATGAATGATCCGGAGAACGCGTACTTGGAGCACGCCCGAGGACTACTCGAGCCTGTGAAGGCAAGTGCGATACCAGGTCTAGACTCGGCAATTAGCCTTATGATGCCTTATGCCGTAGCTGTTCTCAGAGTTGCTGTAGTTCAAGAGCAAGACTGCAGAAGACTGCAGGCCGGTAGCGAAATTGACGGTGATTCTTCCATGCGCGAGGCCAAACATCCTTGGATCTCGCATGCAGACCTTTGGATCCTGGCTTCCTACGTGGCCCTTGAGAACACGAATGGTCCAAGGACTGGCGGGCTGCGGTGGCAAATGTGTGCAGGCGCAACACAACACATGAACCACCTGCCATTGCGGGTGGCGCAGCAGGCATGCGGGCAATATGCTAGTGGGTACTGTAGCTTCCGTTCCATCCAACAGTGTCCATATCGCTCTGACTCATACGCATTCTGGTGTTTTCTCGATTGGCACGGGTGTTACCGGCAGAAGACCAGCAGCTCCAACCAGCTTTGTCATTCTACCTCCGGGCGGCTTTGGCAGGTGTGAAGTTTGTTTTCTTTCTTTTTGCGACCTGAATTTCCAGCGGGGCAATTCTACCAGCTTTCAGCTGACATGCGGTCGCCACAGAGCCATAGCAATCCCACATGACTGGTCCAACATCGCACCCATCAGCAGTACATTGTTGTGGGGTGAAGTTGGCACGACACGATGCCACCTACAATAAACGGATGCCGAGCCCAGCAATTGCCCCTTTCCCCTCTCCTCGCCCTCCCGCTTGTGCGAGATTCCTTCACCTGCCTACGTGACCCCCGTGTGCAAACCTCTCCCCTCAACAACCCGAATGCAGTTTGTACGATGTCGAGGGGTGTTCCTGCCTTTCATGCATTTGTCGGTTTCGCCCGGATTTTGCAAGAGATGTCGTGAAGAACCGCTAAGCGTTTTAGGAGCAACTGCCTAGGTTTATCATAGGAAACCCCCTAAATCTACTCTTGAGGCTTGCCATTCATTTTTTGGGCTTGAAGAGGGTTTGAAAATACATCGAAGTTTGGGCCTTTCGTGGATCTGCGAGAGGCTTTGCCGGACACTTCAAGAACAGCTAAATCTTGAAAAACAAGCATATGTCACTCTTCACCTCTGGATTTTTCTTTTGAGATCAGAAGGCCAGAGCTGCATGTTTTGAAACCGGCCAGGCAACACAGCAGGATCACAATTTCCATCTTGGCTTTTCTTGATGTCGCACGTCCCACGAATGACGTGCAGACTGACACTGCGACTGATGTGTACTCACTTTTGTTGTGGCCGCTTGCAGTTCAATTCCAAGCCGTTCCCGGGATTAGGTCGATAAGCATGCAACACGCGCGCACGTGTGGGCTCGGGAAAGAAACGCTTGCCGTGGGTGCGAAACGGTGACGGGGTACTGAGGATCCTAGGACAGGTGCAGACTCGGAGGGCTATCAAGGTGCTCTGTTTCTTTGTGTTGGTATCTGGAATGATACATTACGTTGTCTGATACCGAGCTGTGCCGTCCTCGCTGTAAACTTGCAGATCGGGAGCTCCGAGTGTAACTAACTAACCTTAAGCTCTGAAAAAGCCTGTCTGCTCGCCTACACTTCCAACGTTTAAGACCTCAACCTGGAGCTCCGAGTCGAAGCAGCCGTGTTGTCCACACGAAACTTTTTGGCCTGAAGCTCTGTGCGAACCTTAAAGCGTCAAAGCCGCAAACCCTAACAGCCCTTTCTGCATGCCGGCAAGATTCAAAAGCCCTAAGCCGAAAGATTCCGAAACCAAAACCCTAAAGACTTCCTACAGCCACAACCCCCTTGCCAAACAGACCCTGCATACACTTCAAAAGTGCATACGCTTTCGGCCGAAACTGTATACACTTCTGCAAAAAAAGTGTGTACACTTTTGGTCCGAAAAATACATTTTTTTATAAGGATTTTTATGTGTTTTGTTGATGTTGGTTTTCGTTGTGGGTTCTGAGTACAGAAACCTATATGCCGAGAGGTATTGCTTGAAATACAACAGTTCGGTGTTTTTTGGCGAATTCGGGCTTTTCGGCGCCTTTTCCTTTTCGCTGCTCCTGCAAAATTGTATACACTTCAATTGAAAAAAAATGCTTTTCAGCTGTTCGTGGTTTTGGTGTTCGTTTTGGGTTCTGAACACAGAGAAACTATGCTGAGATGTATGTGCTTGAACAAGTTGGTGATTTTGGGGGTTTTTCGGTGCCTTTTCTTTGGTTGCTCTTCGGATGTGCGCAGAGCTAGCAAGCAGGTGATCTACATGGATGACAGAACCTTCAAAGGCCAAAGCTGGGACGACATCAACACGCAGATTGGTGCCTGGCAGGAGTGGTCTGACAAGGTCAGAAGACCCAGGTCACGGCGCGAGGCCGTGATGCCAGCCTTCACGACTGCCCTGATCCTTGGCGCAAGGCGGAGGTCAAGATGCTTGGCTGCCACTCCGTCAGTAGAGGCGCTCGCCAGTGTCTTCCGGAGGAAGAAGCTCGCGTTCAGAAGGCCCGCCGTCGTGCTGAGTTCCTCGGTATGGTTGGCCTCCCGTTTGATACCTTGGTCCGTGCTCGGCAGAGCCTGGTCACCAGCTTGGCGGCTTACGGTTGGATAGGCCGCGCCCCGACGTGGCGCCAAGGCAATTGGGTCTTCAATGGCATTACCAAGGCTCACGCTGCCCGTCGTTTGGCCAATAACAGGCTTCGCAACACTGTGTAGGAGGCTAGTCCCTGGCGATAGCCT